TACCAATTGGAACACACTTGTGCGTATAAAAATTCGAAAAACGTTTTTCGCTTGTATTAAGCCTTCAGATTGTTTTTGAAATTTCTCCCTGTCAATCATTCCTTCACACAACGCTGTGGCGTGTTTTACTGTTCTTAGCAGCCAACAACGTGCTTTCCGTTTACACGTTACTTTACTTTCAATCAACAATATCAGCAGTCTGGTCATCACTCCTTCAATGTTTCAAAACACTGGTTTTTAGGCCTGCCGAAAACAGTTCACATTATCCTCCGCAAGTCTTTGAATTAGAAGAAGCGATAAATGAACTAACTACTTTAATTGACATTTTTTTAAGTCTGACAGGCGCACTTGCAGCTCAGCAAGATAATGTTTCTGACCTCGATGGAAGTGGAGTACTTGCCGATAATTTAAACTTTGTAACAATTATTCCCGAATCAGGAAACCTGCGACGGCATCAGCCGCCGCCGTTATCATTTTGTATATCTGCTCTTACTTTCAGTTTGGTTTACATCGAAAGTGTACGCGGCATATTCTATCGGGCAAAGCTAAGTTCTAATTGGTTCGGCCTCAACTACCAATCTTCCACATCCACTCAAATGGAAGAATTATCTCTGTTTCCACTGATCGAAGGCAACAGCAACTGGTCATTTCTTCTATACGAGAGTATTCAACCTGAGTTGCTCACGTCTACTGTATCTGATGTTTTCCAGTCAATTAACGGCCAGTCAGCAGTCTCTTGTACATATCATGATCGTTTACTTTCCTGCGATTTCCCAAAAAATGGTTACATATGCCATTATAAGCGTTTCGTCGTAGCGCTGTTTCTATGAAGATTGTCAGGTAGCTCTGTGCAAAAAACAAATAAAAACGTACACGTTTTCATGCGCAATAGCCTTAATAGAAGGAAAGGTAAGTCGAGGCAGTTCTCGTTTGAAGAATAGTAATGAGGTACAGAGGCAACCAACTGAAGAACTGAGTATACACAGTGATGGAGATGTTGAGCCAAGGCAAGACACTTACTGCAGCAGCACCTGGTCATGGTCGCACTATCGGTTCCACAGTTCTACTGAACGATTTCGCAAATGTATTGAACAGAAGTAGAACCCCAATATCATTTGCCAAAGGTCAATGGCGTCAACTGCAAAAGTTTGTGGCCGCTGTAATAAACTCCACAACCGCTTTGTTATATCCCGAGGGTTTTTTTTCGCCCATCAGTGTTTTCATTGATGAATAACTGGGCCATACTTGGTGCACTGCCAGCAACATTGCTAGGGGATAAGGAAAAATCATGGGGTTTTGCGAATGTTATAGACCATATTCAGACACGCCTTACAAACGGCTCTTGGTTGACGTCCACTGACGTCAAAATGATGCTTTTTTACTTTGATATCTTCCTTAATCTGAAAGGTAACCATCAGGACACCAGATTTATTGTCAGTCGCCGATTACCTGAATTAGGTAGGCCAGGCGACTTTTCACATGATCAAAGTCGGTTATATATGGAGCAACAAGATGGTCGCAGGCTAGTGAATGAGCTAGCCGCTGCCTTCAAGAGCCACGAGTTTGTCACTTTTTTTGACTGTAATGATTCACCAGTCACAAATGTATGGTGTTGCGCCGTTGTTCAACTTGATCCAGCAGCACACAGAGGATTGTGAAGACGACGTTCGACGCAATACAATATTTACGAAGGTTGTATCTCGTTGTACATGCAGTTGTGGGAACGTGCGACCTTTTAATTTGTTCGCTACCTGCTTCATTCTGATGAACGACCATTGGGAACAATCAAACGTATGTTTGCGCGATACGAGTTTCAAACTAGTAAAGTTAACGCGCCGCATATGCACATTGTTGTATGGACAGAAGAAAGCAACGATATAAATATTCGGCGCAATATTTGCGGCTCGTTGCGTCACCTTTTCTACAATCTGCAAGTAAAAATTGACAATCCTCTTTCTTTAATTGACAACAAAATGTAGTTGGATTAATTGATGTACAGCACATCCGCCCTTTTAACGCGCGACTGCAGCAGCGCTGAATATCGTTGTCACAAGAAAGCCGATGAACATGGTCGTAGCATATGCAGGTTCAAAACGTACCAGCCATGTAATGAGACTTTCCGCCGGCATGTCGATAGACTTCACTCACCCCAAGTATGGCAATTGTTAAAGAATTTGAACTTGGCTACAGAAGTTCCCGGCCACTCGTGTACTGTGCAGTTAATCAAATGGCTGCTGCCACATATAATTATAATGCAGAATACAGTGAGTTGTTTTCGCCAGTCAATGCGAATTTTTCGCCATGTTAAAGGAAAACATGAACACATTGTTGTGCGACCGAGTAATGTCCAAGTACGCTGCCGGCGTTGAGCAGCGAGCTACCGTTTCTGTGACGGCGTCAAATGCATAAGTTAACGTCATTATCAAGAAAATGGCTGATGTTAAAATAGCTGGAGCCCTGTTGAAAGCAGGCGAAGATGCTGTTGCTTCTGAGAACTTTCACGTTGTGTCTGCCACGGTATGCTTGTGGACAATTTTGGAATTGCCATATGTTTTCAAGTCTTATGACTGCTCACATGCAATTGACGACCTCACAGAAACGGTAGCTCGCTCCTGAACGCCGGCAGCGCACTTTGCTATATAGGCTGCGGAAAGTACTCGGTCGCACAACAGTGTGTTCGTTTCCCTTGAACATGGCGAAAAGCTTCGCATTGACTGGCGAAAACAATTCACTGATCTCTCATACCTCGAATGAGAGTACAATGATAGCAAGATTCCATTCTCTTCTCAAGCTCAAAACATCTACATTAATAATATAAACATCTCTGTAATGATCATCCAACAATCTGGTTGACAACAGTATCGAGAAGCAGTTATGTTCTCCAATTTCTGCAGTTTCTTTGGATTCTCCAACTCAGAAATTTGCTTTTCTTTTCATCAACTTTAAACAATATGCACAGTCACAGACCAAATTCTAAAGAAAAATGGGTAGCAATGACTATCATTCTAATCCTAATAACGGTCTAGGATACTGGTTTAACTTCGGCAACTGGTATTTTAAACTTTAAAAAGTTATGGAACTATTTAAGCTACTGAAGCTATTATATTTAACTGACGATAGCAAAAATGCTAGCAAAATATTGATGAACTATTGTAACAGTTACAAGATTCTGGCTTTGCTCCTTTTACACTGAACTATCTAAGGAATTTTCCATTAGCACTTTTCGCTCCCTTTTTGTATCTCATTTTTGATTCCACTTACCAAATCTACTTTCTATCTATTTTCCACTACCAACCAAACTACCAACAATCACCATTGTGGAAAGCAGCGATTGCACAAGAAATAAAAAATGCGCAAAGATGTACACTACAATTAGCGGCTGCTATTTCTTCAAATAAGCCCTGAGTGTCAGGAACTTGATGTTTTCCATATAAAAAACTGTTATTGTTGTCAAACTTTGATTTTCTTTCAACTCTTTCTGTTTGTAACTCAATTTTTTCTTTAACTTCAACCCAACCGTACAATGCAGTTCACGGAATCAAAATGGATTTTCGAAAAATCTGCAAACAGCCAACGATCAAGATTTTCTGGAAAAAAAATCAACGATCAAAATAAGTTTCTTGAATTCGTTCATTTACATTTAACCAAAACATTAAAGAGCAGAAACTGAAACATATAAGTAGACAGCAAACGAAGAGTGGCGCAATTCTCTATAAGCATGGATGGATGCTAGCCACCAGCTTACTCAAACCCAGAAAACCTCTATGTTGAATTCAAATGGCAAGAATTGCGTTTTCAAAATCTGTTTAGGACCAAGTAAACTATTTCCCTCCTAAGTAAAAAGAAAAGACTTGTCTGTGTAAAATTACGTTCTTGTTTGCCAAATTTTGATTTTCTTTCAACTCTTTGTTTGTAACTCGTATTTTCTTTAACCTCAACCCAACCGTACAATGCAGTCCACGGGATCAAAATGGATTTTCGAAAAATCAGCAAACAGCCAACGATCAAGATTTTCTCCTGGAAAAAAATCAACGATCAAAATAAGTTTCTTCAATTCGTTCACTTACATTTAACCAAAACATAAAAGAGCAGAACCTGAAAAATACGAGTAGACAGCGAACGAAGAGCGGCGCGATTCTCTAAGCATGGATGGATGCTAGCCACCAGCTTACTCAAACCCAGAAAACCTCTATGTTGAATTCAAATGGCAAGAAGAATTTGAGGCTCCTAGCAATCAATTACATAAGGTACATAAGGATCGTGCTGATTCGTGCTTTTATTTCATTGACCTAATCTTCTTTTTTTAATTATAAATAAATATTTTCCGAGGTACATTGTTTAAGTGTCACGTGAAATAAGACGAAAACCAAATTATACACACCAATTTCAAAGAAATAAAACAGGTGCATTCATGAAATTTTTATCGTAGAAAGTTACGTTCGTCTGGCCAAAACTTTCTCCGAAGTATTGGGTCAATTTGTAGTTACATAGAACCAATTTTGCAAACTCTGAGGTGTTTTTGCGCTTGATTGTATCCAGAGAATTATGGTTTTAGACCGGTCAATTGCTATTTTGAGATCTACTTGGCGTTGTTCGTATACTTGTTATAATTTTGAAAAAATCTCCTTTCGAATTTCCAAGAAAAAAATAGATGGCCTTAAACGACTTTGAATTTCTAGAAAAATTGGCAATTGCAATTCATGAAATTAACCCAATTCGAGAAAACTAGATCAATACGTAAAGATTTTATTTCGCTGAGACACCTGATAATTAAATTCCACTTTCGAAAATAGCAGTCGATCACGTTTTTCAAGACCTTTACACTTTTGCTGTTCGATAGTGGAGATTGCTTTCCTTTTAACAATGGAAATGCACTGAACTAAAAAAAAGCACAAGTCAAACCGCTAAAAATTAATATTAAGCATAACCAACTCGAAGACTTCTTTATTGACAAAAAAAAGTCAACCTCACCTATATAAATGAAGCTAAAAACAGCAAACCTGTAAAATTTCAGCATTTCTGTTCCCCAACTCCTGTCGCAAGTTTCCAATTCTCTCCAAAAGTAAAGAAATTGGTGCTACGTTTGACGCACGGCTACTTGGAAACGCTACAAATGATTCACTGTCGCTTCTCGCAAATTGATTTGTCGTCTCCTGTAAATCCATCGAACTTCTTTCATGTTCATCGTTTGTGAATCCAAATGAAGACCTTCGTCGCATTTGATTATCTCCGCGCAAAGGCCGAGATTGTGTTTGTATGGTTAGAGAAGAAAAGGCACTGTTATTATCGCTGCGATTGCGACGACTTCCAAAATCAGCATTCGACGCAATGCTAGAAAGATAAAATTTCAGAGTCCACAGTCAGATAGATGTTAATCAACTCATTTACTTTGATGACTTTATTTCGACCCCAAATTTTGGTAGGATTTTTAAATTCAGGTTTAGGTGTAATTTTTCAAAAATGAAAATTTGGCTTTCCAAACTTATTGTTGCAAAGAGGGGATGAACAGGATCACATTTAACGATTTTCTAAAAAACGCGAGCAAAATATAATTATAAACACAGAGGCGAAGCTGCACTTCGCAAAAAACACTTGCGAGAACACGACCAATAAGCAGCACTATCAAGTGAAAGAAGAAAAAGTAGAAATAAGCTTCGAATTAGAAAATAATCGGCTACGTGTAGGATTCAAATCTGCGACCTATTGCAATCAAGAGATTTTGAATATCACGCACTATTCACTCAGCCACGCAAGCTTAACGACGGACAAACACTAATCACGAATAAAGCAGCTAATGAATTGCCAATGAAATTGAGCAAAAAAGGCACCAAATACAAATAGACTCAATTTTGCAAGTAATAATTTGGAATATAACAAACTTAAGGCATACACACTACCTTTCCATGTAACAAATCGCAAAGTATACGGCCAAATTATGTGTAATTTTTGCATTTCAAAAAATTGCGAGATATATTGAGTTAGAAAATTTCTGAAATCGAGTTTTCATTATTATTGTCTTGTTAGAAACAAATCACTTTTTTTGGTTCATTCGATGAATTAAAAATGCATCAACTGAGTTAACTTATTACTATTCGAATGTCAAAGAATGCTATGAAAAAGTGTAAAAGATGGTTTGAAAAGTATAACACAGGCGAAGCTGAGCTTCGCACCACTTGCGATACAAAACAAGGGAGCGGCCACGTCAAACAAAATTGAAAATGTCGAAGAAACTAGAACTATCGAAAGGAATAAGCCTAGTTTTGAAACAAAAACATGCCAAGTCAAAAGATGATAAAATTAGCATCGAAAGAAAACGAATCGAGCGGCAACAAAACCGAAAATATTTTAACAGAAACACTTTAAGAAAAAATCAAATTATATTAAGTCCAACTCACCCTCAACACACACAAAATTTATTTGCGGGTCAATGAAACAATATGATGCCGAACAATATTACCTTCTTGAGTTGGTAAAATTACAACCATCATAAAAAGATAAATTCGTATGGTACAGATATTTAAAAAGCTAACATGCAGAAAAAACTAATTTGTTGCGGTAAATCTGTTGCTAACAGAGGCTTCCAGGAAATGAGTCCAGATTAAAAGAGAGTCCTGATCCTAAAGATTTTTACGGGAAAAAAGTCTAATACTCAATCGCAATACCCTTGCTTATTGCAAGAGTAAAGAACAAGGAAACCGACAAAAAAAATGATTGAAAATTTTTGAAAATTTATCAACTTTCAAACTTCGAAGAAGAAATTATATCTCATTGCAGCTCTTGGAATTTCAAAAATTGGGTATTGCCGTCCTTGCAATTTTAAAATTATAACAATTAAAAAAACTGGATCATTGTGACTTTTTATTCCACTGTGAATTCAGAAAAATAAAGCGCTTTATATGTTCCTTAGTTGAACTCTATTTTCTTATAAGAAAGGAAAATAAACGAACCTACAAATAAATCAAAACTCGAACAGAAAAAGAAACTAATATAACAGACTTAATAAATTTTAAGACATTTTACTGAAAATAACAAAAGTCATCACGACCTATACTGGGCGACATTGAAAACGCAATCATAAATAAATGAAACTAATCTTTCCTTATGGTAAAGGTCGAAACTATTGTGAAATCTTGTTTAATGATGCTTTTGAAGCAAATGCAATCCTATTTCAGCAATTTATTTACCTAAATCATTTCCAAACGTTATTTTTTCTTTAGTATTGAGTAACGAGTACAGAAAGTTTAATGAACGCAAGTAAACAGAAAAACACTGACTTCATTGAAAAAATCTCAACTTTCGAATTTCAAAAACAAATAGAACCCCTTTAAGATTTTTGAATTTCTAGACCGATTTATGAATGGCGCTTTTTTGATAACATTAAACCAATTTGAGAAAACTGGATCAACAGGTAAAGTTTTTATTCCGCTGTAAATTTGAAAGTTAAATTTCAGTTTCGAAACTAGAAATCGCTCACAAATTTTCGCGCCATTTCCACGTTCGTATTTGACGAGTGCAATTTAACTTAACTTTCAGCAGATGAAATTCACTTGAACTCAAAAAGAGCAAATATACCTAACAGCATTCATAAATGCATTAATATGTATGAATGCACATCTGTAGCTATTTATCTTAAAAATTACACCGGAAATTAAATAAGAAATTTCCAAGGAAAAAAAGGAACGCGAGGCTTATCCTTTAGTTTTACTAGATATTTGACGTTGAAAAGACATGTGCGAGAACAAGGAAATCGGAAAAAAGTTGATTGATGAATAAACTACATTCGAAAAAACATCAGGTTAATGCTTTCCGAATTTCCTCAAATTGGCGATTGGCGTTAAAAAGAAAACGTATAACGCATTAAAAATGCATTGATATATATGATGCATTTCTGTAGCTAATAGAGCATTTTAAGACTTTTCTGGAAAAAAAATTATCAAGACCTATATCTGGCAGGTCGAAAAATGTAAAAGAGTCTTTTAAAGATTTTCCGTAGAAAAATTTCCAGATTACAACTTTTCTGTAGCCAAGCAACCTGGTAATTGAATCTACGCTTTAATTTTTTAATGGATTCAGCGTCGTGCTTACAAATTTTCAAACTGTTCTTCTATGCATGAGCGAAAGAAGTCCATTGATGCTTCCATTGCAGGAAAGTGATTCCGAAAATTTCGATTGGATAAAAGAGCATCCAGAAGGGCATTTTTCCAATCATCCATGGAGTCTATTAAAGTCCAGTAACAGTTTTTCGCTGCCAATAAGTCCATATTGAGACGAGTAGCTTCTGCCGATTTCTAAAAATTAAGCTCTTCAAATCAATTGTTCACAATGAATTTATTTTGGCTGTATCGCGACCTATTGATCGATAGATAACATGACTAACAAGACTAAATAACGGCCAATTTCTGCTTATACTGAGAGTAACAAGCGTTGCAGCTCGATTGTAAATACAGAACTTACAGTAAGTCAATACTTTACTAACGGTCTGTAACACTAGTTGCAGCTCGTCAACAGTGTTTTTAGCCGATGCCAACTCGGCTGACAATGAGTCCATCTCGGCGTGCACTCTGTCTCGTTCGGCCATCACAGTCGAATACTCATGTAACACAGCATCTCTTTCACCAACAACTCGACGCACTAAAGATGCAGTCTGTGGGTCGCCACTTCGAGCCACGAAAAGAGACATATTGGTTCCTCCGCTTCCACTAAAAGGTCTGAAAACAGACGATTTTGAAGGTGCTTCATGCTCAAGAATTTTTGGGGACAGAAAGGCTCACAAAATTCAGAATGAAATCAAGTACATCGGAAAGAATCAATTCAGGTATCGCGCTGATTTTTTGCCGACTGTTTATCAGTTCACTCAATTTAAATCCATTAGGATAGCGCTCCTGAGCAGCGCGAAGCTTATCTTAGTTCTTATTTAGTTTATTGTTTCTGAATAGCTTTCATGCCTTTTTTCACTAAGTTTTCAGCTATGCGCTGCATTGTTCGCGTATCTGATGGGGCCGCACCACAAGTGCAAACACAAATGAGCGGGCAGAAGCTGCTCCCACCAGTGCAGCCACAAATGAGCGGGAAGAAGCTGCTCCGTTCGACTTGAAGAACTCTCTGTAGGTATTTGAGTTTTTTAGTGACTCGTGGTACTTATAGGCATCTTTCATTAATCTTCGTAAGTTTTTTGTGCGAATTGAAGACTTTGACAACAAAGAAGGTCGGCTAAACCTTGAACCCCATAATCCGTTTGCTTTTACATCTAGTCAAGCGTCTTCACCAGATGTGGTGGAATTGTTGATAAAGCTCTCGCCTTGCAACGACTGAAGTTTCGGCTCGATTTCAACATCATAGCAAACCTCGCTCATGAGGTTGGCAAGAGTATCTTTGATTTCGTCATGCCTCATATGGGTGTATCCACCTTTCGCACAGTGAAGGGCGTGGGTACGTTCGAAAGATTGACCACATGCAGGTGTGAGTGGAATGTTGGTTGGTTCCCATTCATATTTGAGATAAATTCCATCCCGGAATTCGGACACAAAGAGGTTGAAATTATATCTGCTAAGTGGCAGAGCGTTTAACCAGTTTGAGGCTCCTTTTTCGGAGGCTATCTCAAGTGCGAATTTTCACTGTCACTCAAATTGTTCAAAAATTTATAGTTCTCTTTTGGTTTGTTCTCTCAGTTTTAAGTGTTTTAATTTTTATATAGAATTTTTTTTGCTCAGATATAGCTGTTAACGGGTCGTATGTGTCTAAGATTGACAATGTTTAATTGATCATTCTAAAAAAAAACACTCATAGTCAGAAGGTAGCTTGATATTTAGACCGCTCATGTTCAGTGGCAAAGAAGCGATGTCTCTAAGTTGATGGCTAATAATAACTTTCCAAATTGAAATTGGAATGAGATTTTCCCACAGTGTCTTCTCGCAGGCCAGCATCTTTTCTGTGGAATGTGGGTAGTTCTAGCTAAAAAAAAAACAATAATTTTTCTTGTACCCCTTTGTGTTTTGCGGTGATGTTTTCGCGATCTTGCCAAGGTTTTTCAGTATTTTGTTATGTTCTTCTAACTGAGTTTCTAGGAGTTTTACATTCAGTCTCGAATTCTGTGACAGAACCAAGTACTCTAGTCCCTTTCTTCATTTTGATTTCGGTATTTTTGAATAATTTTATCCCATCGTTGAATTTTTCAACTTATACAATCAGCTGACATTTCGATGCCCTTACATGATATCCAAAAAATTTTCCGTGTTTGATAATGTTGTCATGATCTTTCAAAATTCCGACTGCCTTCCCATCGTCTGCATACCATTTCTGAGTTAGGCTGCCATCGTTGACTAGTTTTATTAAAGGTAAGGTGGCTAGCCCGTACATCGCCATTGCTAATGGGTCTCCTTGTGTGGTTCCTTCTCTAGATAGGTTAGCAGTTTTTATTTATGAAGAGTTTAGAAGGATTAGAGTATGAGTTCTGTATAGCGGCTAGTATAGAGCTGCATATAGTTTTTCAAAAGCAGGTTTCGATTTAGGGAGAAAAATGCATTTTCCACGTCTATCAGAAATACTGCATCGGATTCTGTTTTCTCGTATTGCTTCGTAAGCGTATGAATTGCATATTCGATGCCACATTTTTGGCCAAGGCATAGTTAGTAATTCAATCTGAGTACCATAAGTTCGCTTTAAAGCACTTTGTGATAGTTCTACCTATTATTCTGCAGATGACTTCACCAATGCCAATTGGCCTAACTCCTCGGTTTTTATCAAGTAAAATTAGTCGACATGCATTATATGGTTCAAGAAGCTCAGGACTTTGTATTTCTGTCGATATTTTCAGTGCGATTTTGGATTGTGTCTTTGATATTTCAACGGCCTTCCTAACTTTTTGGGCGTTTATTTGGTCGAATGTGGATAAATGGAAAGAGATTGTATCTTCGGAGCATCATTTTATGTAGTTGTTGTTTATTGGCTCCGCGGGAGGGTGTTTCTCAATGAGGATTTGCTCAACAGTTTAACTTTTGACGGTTTTCTCGAGTGAGAGAACACCCTTGGAGGTATCAGTTAATTTAGCATGAGTACTCGATATATTTCCGGTGCTCATTAATTTATTAAATTGCTGTGCTTCAGTTTCTACTTTTTTCCGTACTCTTTACCAAGCGCATTTACAGCGTTTTTCCCTCGTTAAAAAGTTCGCCCTTTCGCCCTTAAGCCTTCTTGTTAAAGATTTGGAGTTCGATCCATCACTCTCCGAATTGGTTTTGCATAGCATGAGGTGAGGGAATATCAATGTTGCGTGCATTGCGTATGTGTTTTCTTGTGTTTCAATTCACGAGTTGAGGGTTCTATTTAGAGTTTCTATAAAGTTAAACCCAACTCTGTTTTTGCAAGGATCATGAAGACTGGTTTCCAGTGTACTACTTGGCTGTAGATTGTTCTTATTTTATCTTTTAGTTCAGGTAGGGATTTGAATGGGGTCGAGTGTGGCTGTTACAGTTTCGTTGCTGTTTGCAATTGCAGGATTTTGATCGTTGGTCGAGGAGACTTGTTGACGCTAAGTTGGAGGGACTTGGATGTCACTTGTAGTGTTGTATGTAATCAGGGAAGTGCAGCGAATGCAGCTGAAATTGTCATCGTGGTCGCTGCCTCGGTTAAGGCTGCTGCTTTCAGATTATCAAGAGAATTTAAAAATAATATAAGAAGAAAAATTGTAAAGAATTCATTACCAAAGAAGAAGTGGATGCCGTCTCGACAGAACATTTGAGGGGTGTTGAGATTTAAGTTAAGATTGGGCGAAACAATGAGTGTGTGTGTGTGAACAAAGTTATTAACTTAGTTAAACAGCACATGGTTATGAATGTAGAGTTCGCGATTAGCATCATTGTTATTGGAGCTTTGGATTGTTTTAGGGATGATTAGGGTTTTGGGCTGAAACTTGTTTGCAATAAGATTGATTAAGTTTTTCCATTTTAGCTCAACTTCTCTTAGATGCAGCTTATTATCATTAAACCCGGCGATAATAATAACTGAGAGATCTGTATGAAACAGTTTTTACAATACAAACCAAAGCTCCTTAATACAGTTATTATTATGTTGTTGTTATTGCTCCGTGGACTCAGCCTTCGCCAGTGAAAAGATAACGACTTACCTCTCTCGCCTCAACGACATTTTGGAAGATAACGGAATAAAAGTTTCCCTACTGCTACTGGGAGTGACGTACGACACCGTGCTGACCTTCGGACAACACAGCCAACGTGTGCAAGAAAGTAGCAGCAAGAAACAACGCACTCCGCGCGCTTTCTGGACTTTACTGGGGGCAAGACAAAGAAACACACTTGATAACCTATCGTGCCATCGGAAGATCGTGTATGGACTACGCCTCGCCTGCCTGGACACCAATAATCAGTAAAACCAACCAACAGAAAATTCAAACGATTCAGAACACAGCTTTACGGACAGCCACCGGAGCCCTTCGCCTAACATCAATAGATCACCTACATATCGAGTCCAAGATGCTCGAAGTCGCCAGCCACCACCACGTACTCAACAACCAATTCCTAGCCCAAGCAACTCCAGAAAACCACCCCTGCAACCACCTTTGGACGTTTGAACCACAGAGCACCGACAGAGACAGTTCAAGTGAAGAAGTCGCTAGTTTCCTTACCGACGATCTTGAACAGACACTGAAACATCTACACACACATGCAGTCGCCGAAGAGAGAGCCAAAAGCCAGCACAACAGAGTTTTGAAAAGACCCCCTCCTGAGATCTCGAAAGATGAAGAAGAACTCAGCCGCTACGACAAAAGAGTCTTGTATCAGCTTGGATCAGGTTTGTCATGGAAACTAGCCGAAACCAGACACAGACTACAACCGGACCTTGAATCAGAGCTCTGCAGCAAATGCAACTCCAGCATTGAAGACTGACAACATCTGTTCAACTGCCCGGCCAACCCTATATCTGCCATCATTGAAGATTTGTGGAAAAATCCCCTACTAGCCGTAGAACTCGCGGAGATATTCTCCGAACAGTCCACGGAGCAATAACAACAACATGATAATATCTGTATTAAGGCGCTTTGGTTTGTATTGTAAAAATAGTTCATACAGATCTCGGAGTGGGGCGCCGCGGTAACAGTGAATTGTATATTTTACTAGAGCTGGTTTGATATATTTTGTCCTAGATGTGCCAGTTACAAGTTTCTGTGAAAAATCAGGGATGCGCCTTGCCTGCAATCGGGGCATCCACCTGAAACACAGACAGCGAAGGCAACGGAGAAGCTCTTAATTAGAAAGATGGGGGGATGGTTGAGCAATGAACCAAAGAGTTTTAAATCTGAGTTTTAGAAAAAAAATAACGAAAAAGTGATAGGTGTGATTGATACGGAGGAGGCGGTCGTGGATACAATTGTGATTGATATAAGTTTCTTTGAATAACGGCAGATACGCCAGGGAAGCTTCACTCGCCTACGGCTGGGACGGCGAGATTTGATAAGATAATCGAGGAAAGCCAAGCGCGCATATGATATAAAAACACACAAGCTATTTAATAAGTTTATCACAACCATTAGGCTAAATCAGTGGCATCGTTTAATTCTGATTGGTTAATTCAGTATTTGTCTTTTTTAGGACGTGTCTACTTTATTTTCTGTCTTTTTTGCTAGGTAACCGCTCACCTGGTATGATACGGAGGAGGCGGTGGTGGATACAGTTGTGATTGATATGAGTTTCTTTGAATAACGGCAGGAGACATCGTTCCTCTCCCTACACTGACGCTGCTTTGGAACAAGTGACGTCGCCCTTCAACCCCATGGTATGGAAAACTCGATTGAGATTCGAGATTTCTAGTTTCCTAAAATTCACCATCCTAGTCATCTTCATCGTGAAATTTAAAAATTCGCCCATCAGAAATAACAAGAACCTGTGGTAGACTAGTGGCCAGCTCATTGCTAGGGCATGTAGCACCAGTGTTTAAAGCCCAGTCAACACTAGCCTCTCGAGGCAACTGCCGGAAAGGAACAAAATTATCATTTGCGTTAGAGTAGCTGCTCTCTGCTGACAAAATCCGACCTCGTCTGTAGTTGCGAACGCGACTTGTAAGTTCGGACCTCTCTTCTAAATTTGATAAATTATCTCTGTGATTGTGCATTGTTTATTCTTTTGTATACAATCCAATTAAGCAATGACTTTCAGTGGGCGGTACTTCTGTATTGTGTCCATCAATCCAAGAAAATCACCATGACATTATTCTGAATTATCTATCAAAGAATCAATTCAAAAGACCCCTTCCGTATTACGACAGTCAATGAACAGGCTCGATAGTCTCATTAACGCTACATTATGGACAAAAACAAATGCAAACTGTTTATTTCACTCGAAATGCCCAAATTCAAAAACCATTTCGAACAACCTTTACTTCGAAATTTGACCTACTGTATCTATCAGTAAATAACTTGAGCAAATGATCTAAGCCACTCCACTGTTCAAGAAAAAAATTAATGTCTACTTCATAGCAGTTAACAGGGTCAATTAAAATGAGCCCTTCCGTCATGCGACGGTCCGTGCACAGGTTGGATAGGGCCATACCAACGCTATACAAACACATCGGCAAAATTTTATTAAAAAATCAAGTCGATTTTAAAGCATCCAGAGAATTGTCAATTAAAATCTACCCTCCTCGATTATATCACCGATGGAACTGTCTATGTTGGATGTATTTTTAAGTTTTTTGCACCCCCTGAGGCAGAGAATTGCACTCCTCAGAAGTGCAAAACCTTTTTTTTGTTCTTATAAAGTTTATTGTGTCCGAGTATGATTCGTTCCATTTTTCGCTTAGGTTTCTCTGCTGGTTTCTGGACGGTTTTTAAAGAGCCTGTTGCTGCCCCTCCGATACACGCAAAAATTAGTGGAACAAAACTGCAGTGTTCCACGTAGAGACTTCTTTACTGGTATTTTAATGTTTTGACACTCTGAGATTTGTAAGCGTCTGATATAATTTTAAAGCAAGATTTAGCATGCGACTTGAAAAGTTTTAGGCCAATAAAGGTTCGGCTGAATCGGCCTCCCAGAGGCCATTTGCTTTAATGTCAAGTCATCTTCAGTAGTGGTGGTTTTGTTGTGAAAGCTCTCGCCTTCCAACGATTGAAGTTTCAGGTCAAGTTTTCTATGACCATTAGGCAGTGCCTCTTGTGGTCATTTCAAATGTTTTTTCTTATCTCCGTTCGAATTCGTACATGTCAAATCCAATCGCTTTCCAGTTTGTCCAGTTTCAACTTGAATCCGTCGATGTTATTGCTTTGTACTGTTTCCTGTGGCAGATTGTTCCATTCGAGAAGTGCTCTTATCGTGAAGAAATTTTTTCGCATTTCTAGATTTGCTTTACGTACTACTACTTTACATGCGCTACCTCTAGAATCCCTATCATTCCGCTCGAATAGTTTTGCAGTGGCATTCCTATTATAAAAACCATAGCAGATTTTATGTATTTCTATCATTGTTTCTCTTTTCCTTCTGTATTCCAGCGATGATAGATTCAGTTCTTTAAGGCGATCGTAATAGGATAGATTTTTTTTATACCACTAACTAGACGCGTCGCTCTTCTGTGTACGTTTTCCAAGATCTTTTGATGCTTGATGAAACTTGGGTGCCAGATTACGTTCGCAAATTCAAGGTGTGACCGTATCAAGCATCTGTAGATGTTTAAAAATACTTGTTTCGTGACTTTAGTGAAGCTTTTCTTAATTACTGCTATCATGCCGTTCGCCTTATTGGCTTTTTTAGTGATGTGTGTTTCGAATATCAGTTCGTTGTCAAGCCAGATACCCAGGTCTGTTTTGAGTGTCATTTCTTTAATGTTTTCGCCATTGATTTTATAGTTCCCCTCCATATCCAATCTCTTGGTTCCTATTGTCATGTGAACATATTTGTCGAAATTAAAAGAGAAAAGACTGACCAAATTTCTAGTGACTGTAAATCTTCCTGTATGCGTGTGACATCCAATTTGTCTTCAATTTGACGGTATATTTTTGTATCGTCAACAAACAGATATTTTTGACGCTATTTTGTCCGGCATTGTGTTGATGTATATTAAAAACAGTACTGACCCGATTACTGAACCCTGGGGTATCCAACTTTTTACTGGCTGCTATGAGAATCTTGAATCGTTAAATACCATTCTCTGTTGTCGTCCCGAAAGAAAGTCTGTTATCCAGTTCAAGGTTCTTCCAGTTAATCCATACTGTCTAAGAACTCCGATTAGTCTTTTGTGCGGTACCGAATCGAAAACTTTCTTGAAGTCCAAGTAAATCACGTCGACGTTTTCATGTTTGTCCATTGCCCTGGTGAAATCATCAATTCCTTTCAGGATTTGTAAGCTCAGTAAACGTCCAAATTGAAAACCGTATTGTCAAAGAGTGTCGCAAAGGTATTAAAAATTTCATTGTCTTAGAGGAGTGTATCAACCTTTGGGGCGTTTTTAGAGAGTGGGTCAGTGTGAGTGGTTGTCCACATGGACATGTATGATGAGTGTTTGGTGGTTTCCATCCATATTTTAGATGTTAACCATCTTTAAACTCTGATTTGTCGCGGGAAACTTTTTTTAAAGGGTAGCATTCTTAGCCAGTTCGATACTTTTTTCTGTGATGCTAGATTTATTGTCAACTTTTTTTCTGATGAGAAATTTTCATTTTTTTTGGCTGTTTTTAGAGCGTGATGTTCTGTCTGTCAGTTTTGATGTTTCTATTTATCAGTGTATGCTCTTTTTCAGGTATTTCTGGACCACTGTTTTCTAACGGATCACAAAGGATTTGTGACTACTCATAAATTCTGGAAAAATCCAATTTACCGAGGAAGTCTAATCTTCCCATTCGTAGTGATAGTGAAAAAAAGGCTGCGATCTTCATCGGTTATATGGTTTTCACCAGTAATACTAGAAAGAAGCTGCTGTCTCACAATTTTCTTCAATTTCATCCATTTTTTAAAAGTTTTCTCGAGTTGTTCTGATTACAAAGCTTAATTTGTTTTGAATAATTTCTGTCTAGCAGGAGTACGATTTTTGTGGTAATGTTTAAGGTTTCTTGGAAAGCTTTTTTTCCAGAGTAGTTGTCTTTTCAATTTCGCCTTTCATGTATTTATCGCATGCTGATGGTCTTCTTATAACCGATCCAACGACTCGAAAACCAACTACCATTGTAATATTTGTGCCTTCGTATAACTTTATGGCGCTTTCCCGGGGGCTTTCCTTCAGTATGAGTTGACGTATGGAAGGCTCCACTTTGGAGCCGAAAGTCTTTCCGTGCACATCCAGGTTGTCCAGTCTTGCTCGGAAACTCATAAGATCACCTGCAGCGCTTCCGTCATCTGCGTACACTTTTTGGGTGACATTTGGTTTTTGCAGGAGCTCGATCAGTGGGATTACCCCAATTCCGTACATAGCCAATTCCGTACACTTAAATTTGAGGGATGTTTTTATGAGTTAGCCAGCGCATATTGTAGTGCCAGAAAAAATGTTTCTTCAATTTTAGAGCAATTTCTTAGTTGAATGAGTTGAAGGCATTTTCTGCATCAATAAGTAGTATGGCGTCTATTTCCGGTTTCTCAATCTCGTTTCTAATGATGCGGATAGCATATTCGGTTCCACACTTCTGCCCTTAGCAGAGTAGGAATTTGTTAAGGTCTGACTTTTTAACTTCTGATTTTACACATTGGTTGATTGTTTTGCCAATTATTCGTCTCAGAACCTCGCCTATACCAATGGTCCTTACTCCTGGTTTTTTGTCCAGAGGTATCAGACGACACAAGTTGTATTGCTATTGTATAGAATAGCTTTGCAATTGTTTTGCAAAGCTCAATGGATGTCTAGTTGAAGTGAGTTAATATCCTTCTCCATTCGCACGCATCTAGAACTGAAAGACGTGGTTTCCGTGCGTTTTCAGCTTTGAGTTTTGACCTGTTATGTCGTTTGTTTGCACGAATATAGAGGAGTGGTGTGGCATTGTGTGTTGACTTACTTCAGTTATATAGTTAGTGTTCGCTGTTTTGGCTTCGGGGTGTTTTTCTTTCAGGATACGAAGGACTGTTTTTCCTGATTTAGATTTGAGGAGCAGCAGATGTGAGAGAATCATTGCTGCTTTCATTGCGACGTTAGGATTTGATATTTCTTCTGTTAATGACAACAACTGCTGGTTTAGTAATTCTATGAATTGGAGACCGGGCGTGATCTTGCTTAGAAGTGTGAAACGCGGTTTCCAGTTAACGGCATTTTTTTGTATGTCGTTTATTTTAGGTTCAAGTTCATGTTCGATAAGTCGATAAGTTTCCAGGGGTCAGAGAGGACAGTAGTGATTGCTGGGGGCGATGGATTAGATTGTGTTGCGTTGGGCAGTACGTTTGTTTCGGGTGTTGCCGACGATGTCTCTTTTTGAGTTGAGATGGGGGTTGTACCTGGTGGTCTGCTGGTGAAGTTGGACCCTCTTGCAATGTTTTTGGGGTTGCTTTGTATACAGGAGAGCCCATCGTAATAAAATGTGCTGCTCTGTAGCCCGCTACATGAGACAGGGATATATGTTTTGCAAATTACACACCATATACCTCCTTTTTGTAGGTGGCGTTTGCAAATATGGCAGTGCGTTTGATCGGCCGTAGTTAAGAGCGAGGAGGTTAAATTTGTGGTGAATATATACAAGTCAGCTAAGGGAACAATAATCTGAAAAAAAATTTTCACTATAAAAAGAAAAGTGAATACTATCTTTACAAAACAAATTAGCACTAAAATTTTTGTGTAGATTGTGGGAAACAAGTCGGATTCTTGAATTATAAAATTTTAATTAAAAGGCGAAATAAAGAATTCCTTAGAGCCCCCAAGTTTTTTTTTGTATGTGATTGTTTGCAGAGAGGATGATTTTGGGGATATTCAGCACATTTGGGTTAAATCTATGAATTATCAATTTAATTAAAAATCTCCAATCATTAGCAAAATCTAAAACCGTAGATGATCTATCATTGAAGCCGGCTACTATGGTAACACAGTTCAGTTTCTGCGAGGGTTAGCGCGAGACAGTAGCGGCAAGGTCGGCTAGCTTTGCACCTCTGTGCGAGTGAACCGTAGCTCCGACATCTTTGGGGCTGCAGTACTTAGTCTTTGAGGTTTCTTTTAACAATTTCCTGATCCACTTGGGTACCCATTTTGGCCTGTACTTTGACACGGCCATTCACTAAACAGGATACAAAAGAAGCAAAACAAGAAAAAGAACAGATGCCCAAACT